TTTGGTGCTGTTTTTACCTCATTCATTGTCATTCCATTGCTATGATATTTACAGTAGTATACCTGGTAAACAGTGTTGGTTCACCATGATTTGTCCCTGGTGGGCTGCTACCATTACATTTACCTGTGCCTCTGCAGGTATTGGTGATCGCAGCTTCTGTTTACTGCGGATTATCATGTCTGGCCAATGGTAGTGGTGGGAAGCTGTTCAGATTGGGACACCGCTTTCTGCAGCTCCCATTGGCCAGGAACAACAATCCATGGCCAAGGGGAGCTACGATTGCCAACACCTGGGGAGGCACAGGTAAATATCGTGGCAGCAGCACACCAGGAGCTAACCCTGGTGGACTGGATTTGGACCACTGGTTGGTATTTATGCACCTTTGAACTAGTGGAAGGAACCAGTGTGTGAAATTGTGAGAGGGGCAGAAGAGTCACCTCATTCTTTATGTACTCAGAGGCTAATTTTGAAGTTCAGAATGTTAGGGCACTAAGAAGGACAAGGAAGAGGGGAGAGAGAAAAAGAAAGACCACGAGAGAAGAAGGAGAGGTAGTGCATGTGGTAGTAAGGTGAAGGTTTATATTGGAATTAATGACACAACTCGAATTACAGTACTATCAAGGTAATGCAGAACAGTATAGCTCTTTTTGGATCATCAAACCCGTCCTCTACTCTGTACTAGCTTCCTGTAATTTTTTTAATCAATTTGGATGACAGATCTCAGTCATTTACTTCAAAGGGCTCCATAGCCTGCACCTAGCCCTAGATATCTAAAAATCTGCCTAAAGCTCTGAGATGAAGACCAACATTGACAACTCAATGTATTTGACACAATAGAACTCTGTACAATAATAAAAATGCTCTTTGGTGTGGGAAATGGTACTTTTTCAGAGGTGGGTCTAAGATTGTGGAATGAACTCTCTGAGAATGTGTATATTCATTACAAAAATAAACAAGGCACTCTACTGCATATGATTCTCCACCTGGAAAGAGTATGAGAGAACAGATGTTAGCCACATTACTTAACATGCTATTGGAAGGCAGTCAAATACTTTTTTGGAATATGCCATCCCTGATCACTTTTTGACATCTCTCAGAGACCTATCTATCAGGACAATATGCCAATGCTTTGATATTTCTGCATAGTTTATACTATAGTACTCCTGATATTAATAACAAAAAGGAAAGGAAAATAGGGAACCACAACTGGTGTGAATTCCTGTAATACTACTTCTGAAAAGGGGATTTTCCCAATCCTTTTTTATTGTTTTTTCCTCATCTCTCCCTCTTGCTTGATGTTAATATTCATGACTTGTCCTAATTGTAAATTCCTCAGTGCTTATTGTCTTGTTCATCTTTAAAGTGCCATAGCCATGTATGCATTTGCCAAGCACACAAAAACAACAACACAATTCAGAAGAACATGACTATACCATCCTTGCCACTATGGATGTAGAAGTTCTCTACTCCAATATTCCACATGAAGATGGATTACAAGTAATTAGAAACACTATCCCAGAGGGTACCACAGCCAATCTGGTAACAGACCTATGTAACTTTGTTCTCACCCACAATTATTTCCAATTTGGCGACAACTTATACCTCCAGAGCAGCGGCACAGCCAAGGGTATCCACAAAGCCTCACAGTACGCTAACATCTTTATGGCTGACTTAGAACGTTTCCTCAGATCCTGCCACCTTTTACCACTCCTTTACTTACGCTACATCGATGACATCTTTACGATCTGGACCCATGGCCAAGAAACACTGGACGCATTCCACAGAGACTTTAACAACCTACACCCCACCTTCAATCTCAGCCTGGACCATTCAACACGGGAGATCCATTTCCTGGACACCACGGTACAAATCACTAATGGAAATTAAATACCACTTACTACAGAAAACCCACTGACTGCTACACTTACCTACAAGCCTCCAGCTTCCATCTAGGACACACGATACGATCCATTGTCTATAGTCAAGCGCTTAGGTACAACCACATCTGCTCTATTCCAACTGACAGAGACTGGAAACTTCAAGATCTCTACCAAGCATTTGTAAATCTAAATTACCCACCAGGGGAAATAAAAAAATAAATTGAAAGAGCCAGATGAATACCCAGAAACCATCTACTTCAAGATAGGCCCAAGAAAACCAACAATAGAACACAACTTGTCATCACCTATGGCCCCCAATTTAAACCTCTCCAGCTCATTATCAATAACCTACAACCTATACTGGAACAGGATACTACACTCCAAGAGGCTATGGGGGACAGACCCATAGTCTCCTATAGACAACCAACTAACCTCAGGAAGATTCTTACCAACAACCACAGGACATACCACATTAATACCAACCCTGGAATTTTACCTTGCAACAAACTCCGTTGCCAACTTTGTCCACATATTTACTCTGGTGACACCATCACTGGACCTAACCATGTCAGTTATATGATCAAGAACACATATTCCTGTTCATCCAGAAATATAATTTATGCCATCATGCACCAACAGTGTCCTTCTGCTATGTATATTGGACAGACTTCTCAGACACTTCGCCAAAGAATTAATGCCCACAAATAAGACACCAGACATCTTCACAAGATAAAACCAATTGGCTTTCATTTCAACCTACCTGGACATAATCTTAATGACCTTACTATGTGCATCTTACTTCAAAGAGACTTTAACACCAGATTAGAGAGGGAAACTTCAGAACTTTTATTCATGCTTAAATTTGACACTTTATGAATCGGCCTTAACAAAGATGCTAATTACCTTACCCATTACAAAGATAGCTTCCCCACTTATTACCCCTGATTAGCTATTCATTGACTCATAAATAGCTATTCCCTCCCTCTCTCTCCCTCACCCCACCTTCTGTACTAAATCTGTACCTTCTGTACTAAATCTGATTTATCAGTTTAATAATGTGTTCACTTTTTTCATTGTATTCCTTTGGTATATATGATCATGCCAATTCTTTTCCAGAATATGATCTGAGGAAGTGGGTCTGGCCCACAGAAGCTCATCACTTATTAAAGCATCTTGTTAGTCTTTAAAGTGCTATATAGTTTTTCCTTTTGTTTTAGGAAGATCAGACTAACACGGCTACCTCTCTATTACTATTCAACATGAATACACTAGAATACTTTTGCAGGCAGGAAAATGCAGATAACATAGCAATAGAAAAAACAATATAGGATAGATGTTTTAGTGCTATCATTTCTTTGATATGCACTCATGCTATATCAGTAGTTGCTTAATTGCAGTAAATGCAGTTCCATAGATCATCTAAAGGGCTCATGTATTTCTCATATATCTGCTTGTGGGAATAATATCAATCTAATAAGTATTGTTGACCTTATCCCTGCTTTCCTCTCCCTTAACCAGTTATCAGTTGGAACAGGTTTCCCTAAGCATACTTAAACTACAGACATTTACTGATATTTAATAGTATCAATACCAGGATTTC